TTCTAAGCACCTAGAGGCTTAAAACAAAGTACATACTGTCCACCAATATGTGGGCTAGCTGGGCAGAAGAGAGAGGAGTATCTTTGCATGCAGTACAGACTGCTTTTATTTACAGGTTTCCCCCAGTTTCTTCACTGGGCACCAGTGAGTTAACAACCTTGCTTCTCTTCCAGAGGGGCATACTTCTCTGTTCCTATTTTTTGTGAGACCAGGAGAAGCGGTAACTTTTCTTTCTGGTGGGCCTCCTCTTTAAGTGACTTCCCCAGGAAAAGAATTTCTTACAGCACACTTTGGACCAGCTTTTTTCCAACTAAGAAGCCCCTAGTGCCATGGCACCCCAAAACGCCCCCTCCCGTTTCAAGACTTTTTTTAAAATGCAAGCAAAGCAAAAGAGCAGAAGGTAGAGAAGGAATGAGGGTAGACGAAGCAGAGAGAAACAGCAAGGTAGAGGGGTGAATGGGAGAGAAAGAGTCAGGTGAAGATGTGGGAAGGGAAGGGAGTAAAGAGGGAGGAAGGGCCACAGAAGGGAGAGGAATAGCAAGGAAAGGGGTTGCTGGGCAGGCTAGAGAACAAACCTTCCATTTTCTCCTCTTCATCCCCCCCCCCCCCCCCCGTTAACAAACCTCTTGTTTAGCCAGGCCCCATGGCAGCCATTATGTGATTAACCAATCCTGTATGGGAGGCATTCTGTCATGGAGCCCATAGCAACTTGTCAAATTCCCAAATATGCCCATGGGTCCAAAAATGTTAGCAACTCCTGTCCTAGACAGACTATCTGCTTAAAACATGTCTGCCTCCTATTGCCAAGCACTCCTGTCTTCAGATGACCACCATGGGAAAAGAAAAATGCAAGGTACTTTGTAATTTCCTTCCCTAAGCCTGGAAGCAGAAAACTTTCCCCAACCCCAACTTTCCCCAACCCCTTTAAGGATCTTAAAACACATGCAGGGAAAGAGTTCAGTGAGGAATGTGTTTGAAAACAATACAGCTAAATGCCCAAATATGAAAAGGAGTATATTTAGGGAAAAAGAGAAACAAAAGGAAGCAACAGTCACACTCGTACAATAATTCCAAATAAGTTAAAATCATTACAATTTTAATCACATTATTCAAGTACAGTTTAGGTCCTAGAAAATAAGCCAAGTTTACTGCAGAGATGATGGTCTGAGAAAGAAAAGAGCATTTGGTTTCTGTTTAGATGGCATACAGGAAAGCTCTACAAGGACTGTGGGAATCTTTTTATTGGGGATTGGCACTCTGTACAACCCAATCCCTTTCTGAAGATGGTTGGCTGGCCTGTCCAGTAACACAGTAGTCTCCATTTCTGATGTCAAAAAATTAAAATCAAATCAAAATTCAAAAACAAATCAGAAAATTACCTGGCATTTGGACTCTCCATTTTAACAAGTATAATTTATGTCTCAAAGGAATTCAAGTTTTGTTCCAATTTTACAGAGCGCAGAAGTGACATAGTGCTAGATAAAACTATTGCGGTTGTCCAGCAGGGTGTCCCCAGTAGGGGGCCCTGCAGAGCTATATTAGAAGAAGGGATTTGTCACACAGCTGCTCCACATCTGGCTCTTCTCTGGAATGTTTCTGCAGCCTTTACTTGTTGCTTCTACAGGATGCTCAAAGAATTGCAACTGTTCAGAATGGGAGTTCCAATTGCAGTGTTTCTACTAACCTCTCAATGTTTTAAGTTATGGTAAATATAACATATAGCCTTAACAGCCTTGTGTTTGATTATGAAGTAGTGTGTCCATCCAGAATGAGACATATAACCTAATAATCTGGAAAATTTTCATTGGGTATACCATTGTAGTGATACATGGTTTTTTTGTGTTCTCCATTTTGGACAGTTCTTTTTCAGGCAGTTGCAAGATCATAATTCAGAGTACGAACGAATACTACCTGCTTGTATATCATTGCATGTGAGCTGCTTTGCCATATCAGGCAGAAGGTCCATCTAGCCCTGTTTCCTGTTCCCAGCTGTGGTCAGCCAGGTAGCTCTGGAAACTTGCAAGGACGACACCAAAATAATGGCTATACATTACCAATATCCTTCAGAAAGGATAGTCCTCCAGATGTTTCGCTTACAGATCCCATGATCCCTCAACACTATCTATGCTAGCAAGGGCTGATGGGTGTTGTAAGCCGAAGCATCTAGAAGGCCTAAACTTGGGCTATCATGTGGCTTCATCAACTGGGCTTCTTTGAGAGGAGATCAGCCAAAGTGAGAGGAAATCTAGGCTTCATATACAGTGCATATTCTAGTCATCTTTACCCAGTGAAATCCCATTAAATTGAAAGGGGCTTATTTCCAGTCTTGGGAAGTGAATGCCCAGGTCAAGGGGTGCCCGAGAGGAACAGGAGCTCCTTGCTTTAACAGATCTTTATTTTCTGTAGTAGATTGGGCTAGCCCCTATCTCCTATGTTTCCAATGCAAAAAGATGAAGGCATAAGTCTAATATCATTACTTGTAGAGGCCCAAAATGCAATCTTTAATATTTGACCTTTGAAGAAAGCACCAGAAATCATGGTAGCCACCTCCAGTCTTTGTTTTACCATATAAATGACGTGCTGTGCACTCAGTAGATTGAATCCTTGCGTGCTGCTCCCAAAGGGCTGATTCACACATTCATTACTGGATGATTCATCATTTGACTGACTCCCATTTGAATGTGTGAAATGACTATATTAAAGATTATTGTGCTAAAGGTGGTGGCAAGCAACAGGAAAGCTTTATTGATTGATGAGGTTTAATCTGAGATTGCTGTTCCAGAATCACTGCCTAGACTGTATTCACACCTGTTGTTCTCACATGGTTTGGGTTTCTCTCACACCATCATGACACCCTGTTTAAGTAACAAAGGCATATAAACCAGTGGGAGCTCTAAGTGTGTGTTATATGCCATCAGGTCATCTTTGACTTATGGCAACCCCATGAATGAAAGCCCTCCAAGGTGTTCTTTCCATGACAACTCCACTCAGCTCTTCCAAGTTCAAGGCTGTGGCTTCCTTTATGGATTCAATCTATCTCATATTTGGCCTTCTCTTTTGTCATCTGTCTTTGACTTTCCCTAAAATGATTGTCTTTTCCAGGGAGACTTGCAATCTCATGATGTGTCTGAAGTATGACATGCTCAGTTTTGCCATTTTTGCTTCCCGGAAAGCTCTGGCTTGATTTGATCTAAGACCCACTTGTCCGTCTTTCATAAAGCTCTCCTCCAGCACCATGTTTGAAATGCATCAGTTTACTTCTTGTCAGCTTTACTGTATACATCCTCTGCTCCTGTGTGTTTTCATCTAAGGAAGGTAACTGGGCAAGACAGTCCACTCAAAATGTGGCTATACTCTTCTCATTTCCCACCACAATAAAAGGAACTAAGAAGCATTTCTATGCAAAATCAAAAGATACTCAAAATGTAAATATTTAGGGGAAAAGCCACCTTTCAGTATGATGGATAAGAGGTTTGGAGTTTGTTTTTTGTTTTTTTTCTTAAAAGCCTTCATCAACATGTGAAACAATAAACAGAAACCATGGAACAGTGTTTACATAAAACTTGTATGAAGAGGTACCAAAACAAAATGAGGAGATGCCAGAAGAAGGCCACAATTTCGGCAGGCTGGTATGAATCTAGCTCTGATGTTGTCTTCATAATGGCCCAGTAGAGAATGCAGCACCATGAGATGGCAGGGTCCTGAAGACTGTGCCATTTCAGGTGAAGGGGTTTTGTTTTGTTTTGTTTTGTTTTTGCCTTTTTAAAAAGTCCTCCCATACAAACAAAGGGAGATATGATAGCATATCTCATTGAAAAGTTCTGGATTGTCCCTCATTTAGCATCAATTTGATACTGTATCTGTTGGCCTTTGCCAGCAAGCCACAAGCTTCAACACATTGCATTCATCTGTCTATCCCATGACTATCACACGATGGAAAGAAAGATAACTTTCTTTCATAGTTTTCCAGACCATGACTAAAAAAAAGTACTTTTACATATGTAGCTCCTAGTTTTCTTCTTGCAAGAGATCTTACATGCCAACTGAAAAGAAAAAAAAACCCTGCTGCAGTTTGTTTATTTATGGTTTTTCCAACCCGCTCCGTTCCCAGCCTTTCAGGACTCTTATCCCCGCTGCATGAGCGGGCCAAGGCGGAGCGCCGATCAGGGACGCGTGAACTCTCCCCTAGTTCTCAGGAAGGACAGCCTCCGGCTGGACCCCGGGCATCTTCCCGCCCTACTCCCACCAGCGGGCACAATCCGACAACCGCGGCGTGTCCCGGCCTTCTCTCTGTCTGTCGGCAGGGGTCGCCGCCGCCCTTCCGAGCCCGAGCAGCCTCAAAAAGCCCGGCGGCGGCAGCCGTTCTTGACATCACATCTCCAAGCTCCTCCTGCGCGCGACCCCTTCCAGGCTCGGGCTCCCTTCTCTCCTTCCCCTTCTCCCACCCGGCCCCCCAAGCAAAACATTTCCGCTGGCGAAAGTCGGCCGCAAACCTAGCCGGGCTGGGCTAGGGGGAGGAATGAGAGAGAGGGGTCAAGAGCAGGAGAGCCCAAGGCCACCGTAGAGGCAGCGGGGGGCGGCCGCCGCCTTCCGGGGCTTTTCCTTCGGCGGCAAGGAGGCCGCCTCGCTCGCCTCTTCTTCCGAAGTCCTGCGGGGGCCGAAGGCACCCATTTGGCTGAGCGCTGCAGCCATTCCGCCCGCCCGCCAGCCAGCCAGCCAGACCCCTCTGAGTGGAAAAGAAGCCAAAGCGGAGGAGCGGGCCGAGCGAGGCAGAGCCGCGAACGAGAGCTCGCCCTTTATTTCTCCCTCTCAAGAAGCCGCCTCTCCAAGCGCGCTCACAGAGGAGGCGAAATGCCGGCCGGGCTGCAAAGGTGAGGCGCCCGGGCGGGCGGCCGGCTGGCCTCCGCAGCTTCGTGCGGGCTGGCGTGTTCCCACGTACATCCACGCGCGAACGAGCGCGCCCGCACATGCAGACACGCGCGCGGGGGGGCGAGCGGCGGCGGCAGCAGCCAAAGATGGCAATGTCTGTGATCCAAGCGTGCCGCAGTCTGGCTCTCTCAACATGGCTGCTTTCCTTTTGTTTCGTGCATCTGCTGTGCCTGGATTTCACGGTGGCCGAGAAAGAGGAGTGGTACACGGCCTTCGTGAACATCACTTACCCGGATCCCGGAGGCGGCGGCGGCGGCGAGCTGCGCAGCGAGAAGACGGAGTGCGGCCGCTATGGGGAACAGTCACCTAAGCACGATGTCTGGGGGCAGGTGGCGATGACCTCGGCGGCCGCCGACAGGCAAGCCTGCGACCCCAACGCCAAGTTCGCCGCGCCCGGGCCGGGCAAGATCTGGATCGCGCTCATCCCCAAAGGGAACTGCACGTACAAGGATAAGATCCGCCACGCCGCCTCCCAGAACGCCTCGGCCGTGGTCATCTACAACGTGGGCTCCAGCAACGCCAACGAGACCATCACCATGCCCCCTGCAGGTGAGGCGCCCTCCTGCCAAGACGCCCCTTTCCTCTTGGCAGGATTCCCGAGACGGGGCGCGCCACCAGAGGATGTTATTAATAGCCCGGCCAGGGCCAGGGTTAATATCCTGAGCTCCGGCTTGTGCTGTGGAAAGCAGGCAGCGTTGGGCGCTAGATTCAGCGGGAGCGAGTTCCCCACCCCCTCTCTTTCCCTTCCCGCTCCTCTTTAGTTGTGATGCTGGCTGTCGTCCCGAAAACCGGGGGAGCGTGGGATGGGACGCATCTTGGGAGACCTGAATGGTACATGATCGCCAAGGGCGCTTTTGATAGCAGGGCGGCACGAACCCTGCAGGTGGCGGGCAGAGAGAAAGACGCACGCAGTCGGGCAAGCTTCTCCACCCTGGTGTCCCCCAGATGTTTTGGAGTTTACTTCCCAGCATTCCCCAGCCAGCATGGCTAATAGGAATGCCAAGAACTGTGGCTTAAAACATGTGTGGGCCACCATATTGGGTATCTTGTGATGAGCTGGAAAGAGAATTAGTGCACGGAATGGAATGTTCGTGGCACAACCTGCCTGGTGGAATGACAACATTGAGGAAAATTTTGCATCCTGTCCTTTGGTTTCTCTCTCAGCCTTTTTAGTGGGTGTCCCAGATGTGTCCATTTGCTTTCAGTGCTCCTTCAGAAATCCAGTCAAGCTAGTTTGGGTCTGCATTCCTCTGTAATAATTTAAGCATTCAGTATCCTGAATTAAATCTCTTCTCTTTCTACATTGTTGGACTTCTCCTAAATGAAAATATTGCTGCGGTTGCATACTGCAATTAACGCAAATTGTAAATCATCCTTCCTAGAACTTTTGAAGAGGGCAGGAAGCAATAAAATGACAGGGCAATAAGCATACTGATGGAAATGACGTCTTTCAGCGTGATTGGGAAAGTTTTAAAGTTCTGGAGTTTGAGGCCACTTCCTGACTTCCAGGGAGTTTGTGGTTTCTGTGCAGAGTGGTGGTGGTGTTGTATGCATTTTAGTGGCTTTGGCTTCAGTTGCTCTGGTTGTGGAGCAGCTGTGTTGAGAATGAGCTATTCAGGATGCCAGGAATGCAATTAGGTTAATTATTTTGAAAAGATTTTACTGGGAGATGTGCTCTCAGTACAGTATCTGTGTTTCTATGCCATGAATTATTATCTAATTTTATATATTATCTATATGAAGACTTCTTTGCATTCCTTTATCCTTTGCAATGCTCAAGGTATTGATCTTAAAGGATCATTGCTACTAGACATAATCTAGCTTGTCATGAGAGAGAAAAATTGCAAAATGGCACAGGTACAAAAGCAGCCTCTACAATTAAAATCTTGTCTTCTTTATTTAATACCACTCTTTGGAAATAATGTATTTAAACACACACAGCTATGACATGTTCTTTTTGGCAGAGTCCTTAGTCTTTCAAATGCTACTTGCATTTTGTTCTGAAAGATTCTTTTTATGCAGAATCAAATGCCTCTTACTAATTTGGACTGCATGCATCTCTAATTGAACCCAGGTGGCTGACCCCAAATTGCAGCATAATAGTAAAGAAGTTCCTTTGGAAGGAAGGATCACTAACTTCAGTGGGACTTACTCCCATGTAAGCATGCATGAGGTTGTAGTTGGTCTCTTCTTCAGGTTAGAGAAGAATGTATAGTCAAAAGTGGTAGCACAACATCAGTTCTTTTTTTTAATAACCATAACCTTTGCCCACTTAAATAGGAATAGATCTAATTGAATGTAAGGGGAATAATTACATTGGATTGGGCTATTAAAGTAGTACAAAAACAAAATGAATGTTTTCTGCAGCTGTTAATGTACAGGGTATATTTGACTTTTGGTAGCTAGACCCTCATAATCTGAAGCTTACTTTGCTTTTGTGTGTTTTAGATGAGTGAATTCAAGAAGCGTTTTTTTTTTTTAATTAAACCGGTCTGTTGCTCTGATGGCTTCCAGAGATTTCTTGATCTTCTTACAACTTTTATGTGAATGTCATTTGGATTTCTCTTTAGATGACTGCTTTGATTTCTTCTGGTAATGAATGATAGGCCATTTTGCCCCGGTGCCCTCCTATGTGTTAGACTCCAATTTTCTGAATCTCTCCACATATTATGAAGTATTCTGGGAACTGGAGCCTAATACCTGTTTTAGGCTGTAGCCTGTTTTAATGTATTTTGTATTCGATGTTGTAAGCCACCCCGAGGCCTTGGCAAGGGGCGGCATAGAAATGTTTTAATAAATAAATAAAAATACATTTGGAAGGCACTGGGTTTTACAGAGGGGAAGAGGGTTTTTACACTGTCACTATGCTCATATGCTAACAGTTGGCTTGAACCTTTGATTGCTTTAGCAAAGAATGGGGATGTGCTTTAGAAAAGTGAAGTATTGGTTCAATTCATGTACTTTGGTTTGCGTGTTGTTTTTAGTGCACCATAAATTGTATATTTGTCCTAAACGGATACATGTTTGTTAGAAAACTCTTGGCAATGTGTTAACAACATACAGTTTTTAAAATTTAGAATTTAAAAAATGCCAGTTCTTGTAGTCAGTGCTTGTAGAAACATGCTTTTACTGTATCTGTTAATATTGAGCAGCTTCATGTATTGTTTACTCCAAACTTTGCAGCTTCTTTGGATGCTTTTTTTATGGCTGATCTTAGTTTATCCAGCCTTGCTATGGGTAGATGTGTTGTGAAGTCGAAGTATGCTTAATTTTATTTTAGTGGATTTTAAGCAATCCTCTCAGTCTTGTATTATTTCCATATTGCGTATTTTACACCAGCACATTTCAGCATTATTGATTAAGATCCAGAGGATAACATGCAGAATTCTATACATGCAATGGGGCTTCTGTTGGAACCAAATCACTACAGTCTTTCACCCTAAGCAGTTCCTAAGGCTAAGAAACCCTCTAGAGTAGGAGTGAGCAAATGCCAGGCTGGCAGGATCTGTTTGGTTTGTTACTAGAACCAGCTCCAAAGAAACATATTTAGAACTCAATTATTCTTAGCCTAAGAACTTATTTTGAATAGCAGAACTGAACTATACTCAGTCTTTTCACATACAAATATGTTCCTATTTCCCCTAGCTTTCTCAGTTTCAGCAATATAATTTCCTGAGATGCAGGAGCCATCTTGTTGCTACTATTGTTGAACGCTTGGGAGTCAGAAATCCGTAATATTCTACTGTAAATCATGCAGTAGATTTGGATACACTTTCTGCCAACCCTGCTCTAGAGCGGGTTTTAATGTAGTTTGAAGGGCTGCAGTTGGAAAGCAAAACTGTTGCACTCAGACACCATACACCAACCAAGAGCAGATGCGCTTTCCTCCTATACATAGGGCATTTTGTATCTCAGCCACTTTGGAGGCTCTCATTGCAAGACAGGTTGCAAAAATAGTGGCTCCTTGTAGGCTACCTAGTGACTTCATCCTAGCTAAGAGGAGTCTTGAATGAGAGACTGTATGACTCACTCTATTAGCTGCTGACTGCAGTAGAGGCATGCTGCTGTAATGTAGAGTGTCCTTTGTAGGAGCTCCTTACTTTAAGCCAGGGAAAAGAATAACGATGCTTGGTCACCAGCCCTTTTAAATTCTGTATTTTTCATGACCCTGTATCCAAAACGCACCTAGCCTGCACAGAGGAGATGGGATCAAGTTACAGGATTAATGCATTTTGTGCTGGTTAAACAGCAGTGAGGGAATGATCAGGATTGGGTCCATGGCGGGAATGGAAGTGGGGTTGCCCCTTTTCCTTCTGCGCCCAAATTGAATTTGCTCCTGAAGCTGCTGTTTGCCTCAGGAGGGAAGCTGCCAGTGGCACCAGTGCCCTACAAGCGGAAACTGAAGCTAACAAGACTTTTCTAGACAAAGCGTGGAAAATCCATTTTTCAATGGTGAATTCAGCTTAAGTCTCAAGGGAAAGTTTGAAGGTTTGCTGTTGATCACCAGTGGAGAATTGAAATCTGAGGATCATTAGGCCTGGTATTGCAGGCATGTCCCAGAAAAATGCTGAGTGCTGCTCTCTCTCTCTTTAAACGCAGTTTGCCTCTGAATTGCCTTCCAAGCAGATTGGGGAAGCATTTTGGACCATTTCTAATATTGCCTCATTTTGAAACTTGCTCCGTTAACTCCTGTCTTGGCTACTGGCTCTGACATAATGTATTCCACATTTATTTTTCATGTAGAAAGTGTTACAATGAAATATTCTAACACATTTTCTTCAATCTGTCCAAATCGGACAAAAACATGGATGCATTCCAGAAAATTTCCTATGAGTGTATATGCTAAGAGATTTGGATCAGAGAGCCTCTTGCACTGAACCATAGAAATGGGGGCTGCACTGGTCATTATGTGTGCCTAGAGATATACAGTGGCTCAAGGATGAAAAGACTTCACCTTTACAGGATGGAGGGCTGCACACTTTGAACTTCTCTACAGATAATTGGGGCAAGAAAATTATTAAAATGGAGACCTACCATGTTCCCATCTGAATCCATAGTTTCTTATTTTTTGAAAGTTTTGTTGACCACACATTTTTATACCCCATTAGTGCTCATTTCCTGTGTCTAGTAAGGTATGGTTTTGACTATTTAATGTTGCAATTTAGTTAGATTGCAGTGTTCCTGGTAGGGGCGTGGGGGTCCAGTGTGTACCAACTTCAGAATCTCAGCTTTAAAAAAGTTTCCAACTTTCATAAGTGTGAATGTTTCTGTCAAGAAAGTTCTCATTTAGCTTGATGTGTCCTCCTGTCAAGAGGACACATTCAAGCTAAATGAGAACTTTACTGCTCTGGCTACCAAGAAAAGAACAGAAAACTCACTCCACCTAGAAACAGTGACATTTAGTGCCACCTAGAGATAAACCATTTAAGGACACTATCCACACACCTCCCTGTATAGTTTAAAGCAGCAAACCAGTACTGCTGAAATGTTTGATAATTGTGGTTATCGTTATTGAATCTCAAAGGTTCCCAAATAACTTGATCAGAACA